TTATTATATTATATTATATAATATATATATTACCAATAAGGTGTATAATTCAATTAATTTTTGAAATAACTGGTAATTACATGAAAAGTGCTTTAGTAGGCGTTTCAGGGGGAAAGTATATAAAAAGAATTTTATTATATATTCAAACTAGTTGTATTATGAAATAACTTTAGATGTCTAGTTATTTTGTTAACGTGATATGTTCAAAGTCAATAGTACAGCATGATTAACAAAACATTTGTTTCCAAAGTATCAAAGAGTTAAGAATGGATAATAATCGTTATAGAAACGTAAACAAACCTTAAAGACGAATCTAATCTTTATTTCATACTTAACTTGTGTGTGTGGGTTGGTATAATTATTTCATGTCATAGCTTGTTATTTCATAAATTAACGGAATTAACATTTTAATGATAACATATATATATATATATATACACACACGCATATGAAAATAAAGATATATTTATAGGTATTCTCTTTAATATAACTGCGTTTTGAATATCGCGCGGACTCACTGTACGTAAGCGCACGCGCGCGTGCACACACTCACAGATGGATCTCGCGTGGCAGATAATCTGTCGTAATGCAACGCAAAGAGCTCGCTTTAGAAAAGTCTGATCCAGAATTTGAAATACGATGGTTCTTCGTTACGAAGGGAATGTAATCCGCGTTTAATGGAAACATCGAGATGGAATACGAGCTTTTTCGTATGATACCAGTCCATAAGTTCACGCACGCGTTCGTGTATATATTATATCGTGTGCTCTTAAAATACATATGTGTAATATATATATAACAAACACACTACATAACACAAATTAGACACATACAGATACATATATTCACATATAGGCGTACACAAGCGTTCTTATATATTACATGTAGGCGAATATATATGGAGTGATTAGTAGTCGATATAACATATAAAATGAGCGAAAGATTTATAATACATCTTATTATTTAACGAAGAAGCATTTTTAAAAACGAAGATGTAATGGTGGCATTAATTACTATGAGAAAAAGAAGAAAGAAAAGTGGAGGAAATTACCAGGCTTGCCGAGGGGAGAGTGGATAGAGGCGGTTTATTATAACGGTTGCCAGAACTCGGAGTGTGGCGGGAATTTCAAAACGTCGACGCGCTTGCGATCTTGTAAAATGTCCGAGAGAGAGACAAAAAAAGGTAGCGGCAAAGGGAGAGAGGCAAAGATAAAGAAAAAAGAGGAGAACAAAATTACATTGACGCAACACATTAAGAGAGTCATTGAACTGCAAAATGAAAAATCTCGAAAGACGATTTGTGCTGATCTAAGTTCTTTCGAACGGCTGATATTTGATTATTTGGTTTTCGTTTCAACGATTTTTTTTCCAAATTTTTATTCTGACTTTTCTTAATCGTCAATAAAATTCTTCGCGTTCGAAGGAAACCTTATTGGATAACATTGGTTAAAAATTCAAAAAATAAGTGTTGCGGCAAAACACGAACGACGAACGGTGTAGTTTTCGATTAAATATTACTTTTATTATTATCGCTATTCGCAACTACTATATATATTAACATTTCATTATAATTAATATTATCATTTTATTATCTTATATTTAGTTTATTCGTAATATTAATTTTTTTTATCATTACGTTATAATGATTTCTTATATTATTATTTTTAATTTTTTCTTTCATTTGATCTTCTATTATTAGTTCTTTTTTTCTTACATTATATTTTTATAATATTAGTTTTAATTTTTTCCTTTT